AGCGACACAGCTCCACGGAGGTAGCGGACCCGCCACCAGGTAGCCCCGCCACAACGGACCCGCCTACATGTAGTTGACCCACCACCAGTTAGCTGACACGCCTACAGGTAGCGGACCCCCACCAGGTAGCGGGCCGCCACCATGAAGCGGACCCGCCTACATGTATTTGACCCCCACCACCAGTTTGCTGACCCGCCTACAGGTAGTTGACCCGCCACCATGTAGCGGACCCGCCTACATGTACTTGACCCACCACCTGGAAGCTGACCCTGCCTACAGGTAGTTGACCTGTCACCAGGAAGCGGACCCACCTACAGGTAGCCTGAGGTAGCTGACCTGCCACTGCGGCAGGTCAGCGGGGCGGGCTGTGCTACCACGATAGCGTGGGCCGAGCGGTCTAAGGCGCTGGATTAAGGCTCCAGTCTCTTCGGAGGCGTGGGTTCGAATCCCACCGCTGTCAGTCTTGTTTTGCAGAAAGACAATGATTCACATCCAATACGAAATCCAACAGCGACAGGGCTCACAGAGGACACCCCTGCCTACAGGTGGGTCAGCTACATGTAGGCGGGTCAGCTTCCTGGTGCGCTACCTGGTGGCGGGCTAAGCTACCTGTAGGCGGGGTCCACTTCCTGGGGGCAGGAAGTGGACCCCGTTAGCTGACCCGCCTACAGGTAGCTGACCTCCCACCAAGTAGCTGACCGCCTACATGTAGCTGACCCGCCACCAGGTAGCGGACCTCCCACTAAGTAGCTGACCCGCCTACATGTATGCTGAGGTAGCTGACCTGCCACTGCGGCAGGGTCAGCGGGCGGGCTGTGCTACATGATAGCGTGGCCGAGCGGTCCTAAGGAGGCCTGGATTAAGGCTCCAGTCTCTTCGGAGGCGTGGGTTCGAATCCCACCGCTGTCAGAAGGTTTTTGCTGAAAGACAAATAACTCACATTCAATACGAAATTCAACAGCAAACACGGCTCCACGGAGGACACCTTGCCTATAGGTAGTTGACCCGCCACCAGGTAGCTGACCCGCCACCAGGAAGCTGAGGTAGCTGACCTGCCACTGCGGCAGGTCAGCGGGCGGGGCCGTGCTACCGATAGCGTGGCCGAGCGGTCTAAGGCGCTGGATTAAGGCTCCAGTCTCTTCGGAGGCGTGGGTTCGAATCCCACCGCTGTCAGTCTTGTTTTGCAGAAAGACAATGATTCACATTCAATACGAAATTCAACAGCGACAGGGCTCCACAGAGGACACCCTGCCTACAGGTGGGTCACTTACATGTAGGCGGGTCAGGCTTCCTGGTGCGCTAACCTGGTGGCGGGTCAGCTACCTGAGCGGACCCGCCTACATGTAGTTGACCCGCCACCAGGTAGCTGACCTGCCCGCAGGAAGTGGACCCGCCTACAGGTAGCTGACCCCGCCACCAGGTACCGCACCAGGAAGCTGACCCGCCTACATGTAGCTGACCCGGCCACCAGGTAGCTGACCTGCCTACATGTAGCTGACCTCACCTACAGGTAGCTGAGGTAGCTGACCTGCCACTGCGGCAGGTCTGCGGGGCGGCCTATGCTACACGATAGTGTGGCCGAGCGGTCTAAGGCGCTGGATTAAGGCTCCAGTCTCTTCGGAGGCGTGGGTTCGAATCCCACCGCTGTCAGAACGATTTTGCTGAAAGAAAATTACTCACATTCAATACGAAATCAACAGCGACACGGCTCCACGGAGGACACCTTGCCTACAGGTAGTTGACCCGCCACCAGGAAGCGCATCTGCCTACAGGTAGCTGACCTCCCACCAAGTAGCTGACCCGCCTACATGTAGCTGCCCCAGCTACAGGTAGCAGAGGTAGCTGACCTGCCATTGCGGCAGGTCTGCGGGCGGCCTATGGTACACGATAGCGTGGCCGAGCGGTCTAAGGCGCTGGATTAAGGCTCCAGTCTCTTCGGAGGCGTGGGGTTTCGAATCCACCGCTGTCAGTACGGTCTTGTTGAAAGACAATAATTCACATTCAATACCATAGTCAACAGCGACAGAGCTCCACGGAAAACACCCTGCCTACATGTAGCTGACCTGCCACTGCGGCACCGAGCGGTCTAAGGCGCTGGATTAAGGCGCCAGTCACTTCAGAGGCGTGGGTTTGAATCCCACCGCTGTCACTCTTGTTTTGCTGAAAGACAATGATTCACATTCAATACGAAATTCAACAGCGACACGGCTCCACACCCTGCCTACAGGTGGGTCAGCTACATGTAGGCGGGTCAGCTTCCTGGTGCGCTACCTGGTGGCGGGTCGGCTACCTGTAGGCGGGTCCACTTCCTGGGGGCAGGAAGTGGACCCGGTTAGCTGACCCGCCTACAGGTAGCTGACCTCCCACCAAGTAGCTGACCCGCCTACATGTAGCTGAGGTAGCTGACCTGCCACTGCAGCAGGTCAGTGGGCGTGCTGTGCTACACGATAGCGTGGCCGAGCGGTCTAAGGCGCTGGATTTAGGCTCCAGTCTCTTCGGAGGCGTGGGTTCGAATCCCCACCACTGTCAGTACGGTCTTGTTGAAAGACAATAATTCACATTCAATACGATAGTCAACAGAGACAGAGCTCCATGGAGGACACCCTGCCTACAGGGTAGCTGACCCGCCCACCAGGAAGCGCGTCCGCTTACAGGTAGCTGACCTGCGGCAGGTCAGTGGGCGTGCTGTGCTACACGATAGCCTGGCCGAGCGTGTAAGGTGCTGGATTAAGGCGCCAGTCACTTCAAAGGCGTGGGTTCGAATCCCACCGCTGTCAAAAGGGTTTTGCTGAAAGACAATAATTCACATTCAATACGAAATTCAACAGCGACACGGCGGTGTCCACGGAGGACACCCTGCCTACAGGTAGCTGACCTGCCCGCAGGAAGTGGACCCACCTACATGTAGTTGACCCGCCACCAGGTAGCTGACCTGCCCGCAGGAAGTGGACCCACCTACAGGTAGCTGACCCGCCACCAGGTACCGCACCAGGAAGCTGACCCGCCTACATGTAGCTGACCCGCCACCAGGTAGCTGACCTGCCTACATGTAGCTGACTCACCTACAGGTAGCTGAGGTAGCTGACCTGCCACTGCGGCAGGTCAGCGGGTGGCCCATGCTACACGATAGCGTGGCCGAGGCGGTCTAAAGGCGCTGGATTTAGGCTCCAGTCTCTTCGAGGCGTGGGTTCGAATCCCACCTCTGTCAGAAGGGTTTTGCTGAAAGACAATAACTCACATTCAATACGAAATTCAACAGCGACACGGCTCCACGGGAGTACACCTTGCCTACAGGTAGCTGACCCGCCACCAGGAAGCGCATCCGCCTACAGGTAGCTGACCTCCCACCAAGTAGCTGACCGCCTACATGTAGCTGAGGTAGCTGACCTGCCACTGCGGCAGGTCAGTGGGCAGGCTGTGCTACACGAAAGCGTGGCCGAGCGGTCTAAGGCGCTGGATTAAGGCTCCAGTCTCTTCGGAGGCCTGGGTTCGAATCCCACCGCTGTCAGTACGGTCTTGTGAAAGACAATAATTCACATTCAATGCCATAGTCAACAGCGACAGAGCTCCACGGAAGACACCCTGCCTACATGTAACTGACCTGCCACTGCGGCACTGAGCGGTCTAAGGACGCTGGATTAAGGCGCCAGTCACTTCAGAGTCGTGGGTTCGAATCCCACCGTTGTCACTCTTGTTTTGCTGAAAGAAAATGATTCACATTCAATACGAAATTCAACAGCGACACAGCTCCACGGAGGACACCCTGCCTACAGGTAGTTGACCCGTCACCAGGTAGCTGACTCGCCTACAGGTAGTTGACCCGCCACCAGGTAGCGGACCCGCCACCAGGAAGCGGACCCGCCTACATGTAGTTGACACCACCACCAGTTAGCTGACACGCCTACAGGTAGCGGACCCGCCACCAGGTAGCGGACCCGCCACCATGAAGCGGACCCGCCTACATGTACTTGACCCACCACCAGTTAGCTGACCCCGCCTACAGGTAGTTGACCCGCCACCAGGAAGCTGACCTGCCTACAGGTAGTTGACCTGTCACCAGGAAGCGGACCCACCTACAGGTAGCTGAGGTAGCTGACCTGCCACTGCGGCAGGTCAGCGGGCGGGCTGTGCTACACGATAGCGTGGCCGAGCGTTCTAAGGCGCTGGATTAAGGCTCCAGTCTCTTCGGAGGCGTGGGTTCGAATCCCACCGCTGTCAGTCTTGTTTTGCAGAAAGACAATGATTCACATTCAATACGAAATTCAACAGCGACAGGGCTCCACAGAGGACACCCTGCCTACAGGTGGGTCAGCCTACATGTAGGCGGGTCAGCTTCCTGGTGCGCTACCTGGTGGCGGGTCAGCTACCTGAGCGGACCCGCCTACATGTAGTTGACCCCGCCACCAGGTAGCTGACCTGCCCGCAGGAAGTGGACCCGCCTACAGGTAGCTGACCCGCCACCAGGTACCGCCACCAGGAAGCTGACCCCGCCTACATGTAGCTGATCCGCCACCAGGTAACTGACCTGCCTACATGTAGCCTGACTCACCTACAGGTAGCTGAGGTAGCTGACCTGCCACTGCGGCAGGTCTGCGGGCGGCCTATGGTACACGATAGCGTGGCCGAGCGGTCTAAGGCGCTGGATTAAGGCTCCAGTCTCTTCGGAGGCGTGGGTTCGAATCCCACCGCTGTCAGAACGGTTTTGCTGAAAGAAAATAACTCACATTCAATACGAAATTCAACAGCGACACGGCTCCACGGAGGACACCTTGCCTACAGGTAGTTGACCCGCCACCAGGAAGCGCATCTGCCTACAGGTAGCTGACCTCCCACCAAGTAGCTGACCCGCCTACATGTAGCTGCCCCAGCTACAGGTAGCTGAGGTAGCTGACCTGCCACTGCGGCAGGTCAGTGGGCGGGCTGTGCTACACGATAGCCTGGCCGAGCGGTGTAAGGTGCTGGATAAGGCGCCAGTCACTTCAAAGGCGTGGGTTCGAATCCCGACGCTGTCAAAAAGTGTTTTGCTGAAAGACCATAATTCACATTCAATACGAAATTCAACAGCGACACGGCGGTGTCCACGGAGGACACCCCCGCCACCAGGAAGCGGATCCGCCACCAGGGAGCGGACCCGCCTACAGGTAGCTGAGGTAGTTGACCTGCCACTGCGGCAGGTCAGCGGGCGGGCCGTGTTACACGATAGCGTTGGCCGAGCGGTCTAAGGCGTTGGGTTAAGGCTCCAGTCTCTTGGTTTGGTTCGAATCCCACCGCTGTCAGTCTTGTTTTGCTGAAAGACAATGATTCACATTCAATACGAAATTCAACAGCGACATGGCTCCACAGAGGACACCCTGCCTACAGGTGGGTCAGCTACATGTAGGCGGGTCAGCTTCCTGGTTCGTTACCTGGTGGCGGGTCAGCTACCTGTAGGCGGGTCCACTTCCTGGGGGCAGGAAGTGGACCCGGTTAGCTGACCCGCTACAGGTAGCTGACCTCCCACCAAGTAGCTGACCCGCCTACATGTAGCTGAGGTAGCTGACCTGCCACTGCAGCAGGTCAGTGGGCCTGCTGTGCTACACGATAGCGTGGCCGAGCGGTCTAAGGCGCTGGATTAAGGCTCCAGTCTCTTCGGAGGCGTGGGTTCGAATCCCACCGCTGTCAGTACGGTCTTGTTGAAAGACAATAATTCCACATTCTATTACAGAAGGAGCTCGTGAGGACACCCTGCCTACAGGTAGCTGACCCGCCACCAGGAAAAGCATCCGCTTACAGGTAGCTGACCTGCGGCAGGTCAGCGGGCGGGCTGTGCTACACGATAGCCCTGGCCGAGCGGTGTAAGGTGCTGGATTAAGGCGCCAGTCACTTCAAAGGCGTGGGTTCGAATCCCACCACTGTCAAAAGGGTTTTGCTATGAAAGACAATAATTCACATTCAATACCGAAATTCAACAGCGACACCGGCGGTGTCCACGGAGGACACCTTGGCCTACAGGTAGCTGACCGGGCCACCAGGAAGCGCATCCGCCACCAGGTAGCTCACCCGCCTACATGTAGCTGCCCCACTGCGGCAGGTCAGCGGCTCCAGTCTCTTCCGAGGCATTGGTTCGAATCCCACCGCTGTCAGAAGGGTTTTTCTGAAAGACAATAACTCACATTCAATACGAAATTCAACAGCGACACGGCTCCACGGAGGACACCTTGCCTACAGGTAGTTGACCCGCCACCAGGTAGCTGACCCGCCACCAGGAAGCACATCCGCCTACAGGTAGCTGACCTCCCACCAAGTAGCTGACCCACCTACATGTAGCTGCCCCAGCTACAGGTAGCTGAGGGTAGCTGATCCTGCCACTGCGGCAGGTCAGTGGGCGGGCCTCTGCTACACGATAGCGTGGCCGAGCGGTCTAAGGCGCTGGATTAAGGCTGCTGTCTCTTCGGTGGCGTGGGTTCGAATCCCACCGCTGTCAGTGCGGTCATGTTGAAAGACAATAATTCACATTCAATACCATAGTCAACAGCGACAGAGCTCCATGGAGGACACCCTGCCTACAGGTAGCTGACCTGCTGACAGGTAGCTGACAGGTAGCTGACCTGCGGCAGGTCAGCGGGTCGGCTGTGCTACATGACAGCGTGGCCCGAGCGGTCTAAGGTGCTGGAATAAGGCGCCAGTCACTTCAAAGGCGTGGGTTCGAATCCCACCACTGTCAAAAGGGTTTTGCTGAAAGACAATAATTCACATTCAATACGAAATTCAAACGGCGGGTGTACACGGAGGACACCCTGCCTACAGGTAGTTGACCCCGCCACCAGGAAGCGGACCCGCCTACATGTAGTTGACCTGCCACCAGGTAGCTGACCTGCCCGCAGGAAGTGGGCCCGCCTACAGGTAGCTGACCCGCCACCAGGTACCGCACCAGGAAGCTGACCCGCCTACATGTAGCTGACCCGCCACAAGGTAGCTGACCTGCCTACATGTAGCTGACTCACCTACAGGTAGCTGAGGTAGCTGACCTGCCACTGCGGCAGGTCAGTGGGCGGGCTGTGCTACACGATAGGTGGGCCGAGCGGTCTAAGGCGCTGGAATTAAGGCTCCAGTCTCTTCGGAGGCGTGGGTTCGAATCCCACCGCTGTCACTACGGTCTTGTTGAAAGACAATAATTCACATTCAATACGATAGTCAACAGCGACAGAGCTCCATGGAGGACACCCTGCCTACAGGTAGCTGACCCGCCACCAGGTAGCGCATCCGCTTACAGGTAGCTGACCTGCGGCAGGTCAGTGGGTGGGCTGTGCTACGTGACAGCGTGGCCGAGCGGTGTAAGGTGCTGGATTAAGGCCCCAGTCACTTCAAAGGCGTGGGTTTTGAATCCCACCGCTGTCAAAAGGGTTTTGCTGAAAGACAATAATTCACATTCAATACGAAATTCAACAGCGACATGGCGGTGTCCACGGAGGACACCCTGCCTACAGGTAGTTGACCCGCCACCAGGAAGTGGATCCGCCACCAGGGAGCTCACCCGCCTACATGTAGCTGCCCCAGCTACAGGTAGCTGAGGTAGCTGACCTGCCACTGCGGCAGGTCAGTGGGGCAGGCTGTGCTACACGATAGCGTGGCCGAGCAGTCTAAGGCGCTGGATAAAGGCTCCAGTCTCTTCGGAGGCGTGGGTTCGAATCCCACCGCTGTCAGTCTTGTTTTGCTGAAAGACAATGATTCACATTCAATACGAAATTCAACAGCGACACAGCTCCACGGAGGTAGCGGACCCGCCACCAGGTAGCGGACCCCGCCACCAGGAAGCGGACCGCCTACATGTAGTTGACCCACCACCAGTTAGCTGACACGCCTACAGGTAGCGGACCCGCCACCAGGTAGCGGAGCCGCCACCATGAAGCGGACCCGCCTACATGTATTTGACCCACCACCAGTTAGCTGACCCAGCCTACAGGTAGTTGACCCGCCACCATGTAGCGGACCCGCCTACATGTACTTGACCCACCACCTGGAAGCTGACCTGCCTACAGGTAGTTGACCTGTCACCAGGAAGCGGACCCACCTACAGGTAGCTGAGGTAGCTGACCTGCCACTGCGGCAGGTCAGCGGGCGGGCTGTGCTACACGATAGCGTGGCCGAGCGGGTCTAAGGCGCTGGATTAAGGCTCCAGTCTCTTCGGAGGCGTGGGTTCGAATCCCACCGCTGTCAGTCTTGTTTTGCAGAAAGACAATGATTCACATCCAATACGAAATCCAAACAGCGACAGGGCTCACAGAGGACACCCTGCCTACAGGTGGGTCAGCTACATGTAGGCGGGTCAGCTTCCTGGTGCGCTACCTGGTGGCGGGTCAGCTACCTGTAGGCGGGTCCACTTCCTGGGGGCAGGAAGTGGACCCCGTTAGCTGACCCGCCTACAGGTAGCTGACCTCCCACCAAGTAGCTGACCCGCCTACATGTAGCTGACCCGCCCACCAGGTAGCTGACCTCCCACTAAGTAGCTGACCCGCCTACATGTAGCTGAGGTAGCTGACCTGCCACTGCGGCAGGTCAGCGGGCGGGCCTGTGCTACATGATAGCGTGGCCGAGCGGTCTAAGGCGCTGGATTAAGGCTCCAGTCTCTTCGGAGGCGTGGGTTCGAATCCCACCGCTGTCAGAAGGTTTTTGCTGAAAGACAATAACTCACATTCAATACGAAATTCAACAGCAACACGGCTCCACGGAGGACACCTTGCCTATAGGTAGTTGACCCGCCACCAGGTAGCTGACCCGCCACCAGGAAGCTGAGGTAGCTGACCTGCCACTGCGGCAGGTCAGCGGGCGGGCCGTGCTACACGATAGCGTGGCCGAGCGGTCTAAGGCGCTGGATTAAGGCTCCAGTCTCTTCGGAGGCGTGGGTTCGAATCCCACCGCTGTCAGTCTTGTTTTGCAGAAAGACAATGATTCACATTCAATACGAAATTCAACAGCGACAGGGCTCCACAGAGGACACCCTGCCTACAGGTGGGTCACTTACATGTAGGCGGGTCAGCTTCCTGGTGCGCTACCTGGTGGCGGGTCAGCTACCTGAGCGGACCCGCCTACATGTAGTTGACCCGCCACCAGGTAGCTGACCTGCCCGCAGGAAGTGGACCCGCCTACAGGTAGCTGACCCGCCACCAGGTACCGCACCAGGAAGCTGACCCGCCTACATGTAGCTGACCCGCCACCAGGTAGCTGACCTGCCTACATGTAGCTGACTCACCTACAGGTAGCTGAGGTAGCTGACCTGCCACTGCGGCAGGTCTGCGGGCGGCCTATGCTACACGATAGTGTGGCCGAGCGGTCTAAGGCGCTGGATTAAGGCTCCAGTCTCTTCGGAGGCGTGGGTTCGAATCCCACCGCTGTCAGAACGATTTTGCTGAAAGAAAATTACTCACATTCAATACGAAATTCAACAGCGACACGGCTCCACGGAGGACACCTTGCCTACAGGTAGTTGACCCGCCACCAGGAAGCGCATCTGCCTACAGGTAGCTGACCTCCCACCAAGTAGCTGACCCGCCTACATGTAGCTGCCCCAGCTACAGGTAGCTGAGGTAGCTGACCTGCCATTGCGGCAGGTCTGCGGGCGGCCTATGGTACACGATAGCGTGGCCGAGCGGTCTAAGGCGCTGGATTAAGGCTCCAGTCCTCTTCGGAGGCGTGGGTTCGAATCCCACCGCTGTCAGTACGGTCTTGTTGAAAGACAATAATTCACATTCAATACCATAGTCAACAGCGACAGAGCTCCACGGAAAACACCCTGCCTACATGTAGCTGACCTGCCACTGCGGCACCGAGCGGTCTAAGGCGCTGGATTAAGGCGCCAGTCACTTCAGAGGCGTGGGTTTGAATCCCACCGCTGTCACTCTTGTTTTGCTGAAAGACAATGATTCACATTCAATACGAAATTCAACAGCGACACGGCTCCACACCCTGCCTACAGGTGGGTCAGCTACATGTAGGCGGGTCAGCTTCCTGGTGCGCTACCTGGTGGCGGGTCGGCTACCTGTAGGCGGGTCCACTTCCTGGGGGCAGGAAGTGGACCCGGTTAGCTGACCCGCCTACAGGTAGCTGACCTCCCACCAAGTAGCTGACCCGCCTACATGTAGCTGAGGTAGCTGACCTGCCACTGCAGCAGGTCAGTGGGCGTGCTGTGCTACACGATAGCGTGGCCGAGCGGTCTAAGGCGCTGGATTTAGGCCTCCAGTCTCTTCGGAGGCGTGGGTTCGAATCCCACCACTGTCAGTACGGTCTTGTTGAAAGACAA